CCTCCGCGGCCAGGCAGTAGCTCACAAAGTAGAAGTTTTGCTCACAAAACTCCACAGCTTAGAGGGAACATTGGTAGTGGGCCCCCCGAGAAAAATTTGGGCCCCCTGAGCAAAAAGTTGTTAGCTACGGGCCTGAAGAGCACGACCAGAGTATCTAGGGGAGAGTCTTCTGCCAAAGGGCTGGTGATGGTTATGACCGATATCTCTGGGGCATTGTCATTCTCATCCTCAATTTCCACCAGGACCTTGCAGTGGCCTGAACGACCCCCTCCATCAGTTGCCTTGATGTTCATATAATAGCTGGTTTCTTTTTCATAGTCCACTGGACCCACAACAGTGATCTCCCCTGTTGTTTGATGCAAGTGGAACAAATGCCTTATTTCTTCAGGCAGCTGATGAAACAAGTAGGTGACCTCTGCATTTGAACCAAAATCCAAATCTCTGGCTTCCACTTTCAAGACCAGAGTATCTTGAGGGCTGTTTTCCTTTAAACCCACTATATACTCAGATTGTGTAAACTCAGGGAAGTTGTCATTGGTGTCCAAAACATTAATATTGATTTGAACTGTTCCTGTTCTCTGGGGCACCCCTCCATCAACTGCTGTGAGGGTCAGCCCCAATTGAGCCTCTTTCTCCCTGTCTAGTGGTTTCTCCAGAACAAGGTCCAGATTTTTCTTTCCACTCCTGCCACTTTGAATTTCCAAGTGAAAATTCTCATTGGGACTGAGGGTGTAGTTCTGAATACTGTTTTTGCCCAAGTCTCTATCATGGGCTGGTTCCAGGGGGAATCGACTATTTGTGGGAACATTCTCAGGAATAGACAGGTCAAGTTCAGCTTGAGAGAATGCTGGAGAGTTGTCATTTATATCTTCTATCTGCAACTCAATGCTGTAGATTGTTAAAGGGTTCTGGAGCACAATTTCAGACAACAGTAAGCAAGAGTCCATTTTCCCACACAGAGCTTCTCTGTCTATTTTGTCATTTATAAAGAGATTCCCAGAACGGGTATCCAGCTGGAAGTACTGCTTCTTGCTTTTGGAAACCAGCTGGGCTCTGCGAGCAGAGAGCTCCCCTGGTCCCAGCTTCAAATCCTTCAGCACATTAGCCACCAGAGACCCACTTTTCTTCTCCTCAGGCAAAGAATAGCGAATTGAGACACACACCACTCCAGACAGAGAGAGTAAGAACAAAAGGTACAGACCTTTCATGATCCTGAAGCTATGGTCCATGGTGCCAGACTCTCCCAGGTCAGATATTTATGGTTTTCAGAACATGAAGCAGCTGGGTACTATCCAGAGATATCTTCTTTTTCTGGAATAATTAATTTTGATCTGCTGTGTCCATTCCTTTTTGTCCTTGAGTCTTCCCATCTATCCAGCAGCTCCCTTCCCTCTGCATTCAGAGTGTCTCTGCCTGTTAGGTTTTTGCTAGTGCTACAAATGAAATGCCAGAAATGCCATTTGCAGCCCATCTGTTTGCTAATACTGCCATCTTGTGGTCTTACTAGAAGAAAACCATGAAACTTGCATGTCTCTTTAAGTTCTCAAACTTTTTGGAGCAGATTGACTGCTTTCTTACTCTGCCTTTTAGAATCCACGTGCAAAGTCTTTTCCTGCTACTACCTCCCCCCATGAACACAAACTGTAAGAATCTCATCTAAGTTATTATTGAACAAGTTAAAGTTTGTTTTTAAGGTTTAGTCATAAATAGCAATAGTGAGCAATGCTTTACATAAAGATCTCTCAGCCTTTTTGCTCTTTATGCATATAAAATAGACACCTACTCGAATGCAGCTGCAGCCAATCACACCCACCTGATCAATGTGTTCAGTGTTCTCGCTTACACACACCAAATTATTAGTACATCTAAAAATGCAACGTATGAAGTGGCTCCTACCGCCTTGGTTGACAAAACCGATTTCTGCTGGAAAGACAAAGGAACACAGGGCAGAGTGCCTCCCCACTGAATGGGAAGCCAAGGAAAGACAGGAAATTCCATCCACTTTTACAGCCTCCTCTTCTAGTTCACCTCTTCCCTCCGCCTCCCTTCTGGCATTGCAACTAACCTGTCAGCCAATATAGTCCCAACCCGCAGTTTGATAACCACAACATAAACAGTAAGTGCACATTGACACAGAAAGTACTCCATCTTTCTGTGTTATAACCTCTGAAGATGCCAGTCACAGCTACTGGTGAAACGTCAGGGACTACAATGCAAAGGCCACGGCCATGCAGACTGGAAAATCTACAACTAGTGTGCATTTTGTTTAAATCAGTGGTACTGGAAAACCTGAAAGGTTGCATACACCTTCGTGTCATAAGTCTGACTTGCAAGCCCTTCCCCTCCCTCCATGTACTTCAGGACTGCCCAAAGATCAACAGTGGTGGGGAGAGAGAATGGGTGATTCCGCACTAGACCTTAAATCCTGGTTCGACCCTGTCCCCAAACTTACATTTTATACTGCACTCGAGTTCACGCCTGTAATTATCTTGGGGTATTTTTTGTTTCCATATTACACTGAGGTCACTCCGGTTTCACCCTACACTTGTCCTGGGATAAACGGATGCTGTAATAACCAGGGATAAATGCAAGGTATTGAGTTGCAAGTTGAACTCTGAAAAAAACCAGGGATTAGATTCAAGTGCGGAAAGGACCAATGTTTCATGCTTAGAGGTATTCTGGTAACTGAAAAAATTGCAATTATAGTTAGGTATTTAATATTGATTGATATGACTTATTGTATGTGTTTGCTTAGTGAAATGGTACACAGGGTATTAGATGTATGCATTTGGATATATCCAAGCCCAAAAAAATGTTATTCAACCGAATCTACATTCCAGAATCATTTTGGCTACCAAATATAGTCAATCATGAAAAATTCCAAAAATATTTGGGATTATCTGGGAATGTTGGGTAGTAGTAATTAAAAGGCGTTTAAAGGGACTGCAGCCCCTCTAAATGTCTTTGGGGTGAACTAGAGATTGGGAAAGGTGTTTAAAAGGACTACAAGCCCGTTGAACATTTTCTCCCTCCATTGGAAACAATGAAGGATGGGGGTCACCTTCTTTGGGGGCCCATGGAATTGTACCCCTGGTCCAATCTTTTTGAAACCTGGGGGGTCTTTTGAGGAGAGGCACCAGCAGCTATACCCCCAAATAGGTTCCCCTTTGTATTTTAAGGGGACCATTAACCATAATGGCCCCCATAGGCTATAATAGAGCTGAAAAATTCACGATTCATGAAAAATTCCATATCTGAATATTATATTGGTATCGTAATTCAGGAATATTAAGAAATATCAATATCTGATACCTGATTTTTTTTTAAATGACAAATAGTTCTTTTGTGCATACCCCCTACAGGGCATACAACACTCAGGTGGCTCTTTTAGTTGACATTAATTGCAAATGTGGCTTTCCATGAGTCATGCAGTTAGTACAACTGGCTTAAATTTATACTTTTGGCCAATTATTTTATAACAGTTCATGTAGTTAATATTCATACTAAATGTGATTGCTAATTCCTCTGCATGTGCAAGAACAGAAACAAGAGCAACACTGTGTGCAATGATGAACACCTCTGTTTCAGTTCCATTGATTCAGGGGTGTTAGTGAGTAAGTGACACTGAACTGTTATTAGTATCAATATTTGTGGGATTCAGTTATTACCAATTCTATACTAAATCAATTCTTCTCACCTGACTCCAGATTTGATCTTCTGCATGGTGACTGGAAATTCATTAATCCCCCTGATTTTCAGCAGGCTACACAGAAAATCAGGACAGAGAGGCCTGAGAAACCTGAACTCGCTGTTCAGAGATCCACCAGCTAAACACACCTCACATTTGTAAGTCTGGGAAAGGAATCCAGAACCAGCATCTCCACAATTATCCTGGAAATTCAGTCCCACTGGGAAATGCATGGCAGAGCTCTCTTTTCTGAATCTTGATGACAATAAGTTCCACCATAGAAACCAGAAAAATGAAGAAGATAACAGCCAAACATATGGTCAGATACATAGTTAGGATATGGTATTTCTCCTCTACCTCGTCATCCTTTGGGATATCCACCATTTTCATATGAGTCAGAAAAGCCACCCACTAGCGAAATACTTAGCCTTGCAGAGGTGGACTGGGGAGGGAGCCCATTATCTCTGACTCTAATGTTAAATTTCTATTTGAAGGTTTCTTATTTGTCAATTGGTCTCATTGGTCTTGTTTGTTCATTGGTCTCATGATTTTCACTTCTGCATTCTGGGCTCCCATGCTGAACAGACCTGGTTCTATGGAAAACCAAGAGTTCTGTCCACTGCCACCACCTTGGTAACCAGGTAGCCAGCCTCAATCCCCCTGGGAACCAGGTCATTGGATGAGGAAATAGGGTACAGGGTGGATTATCTTTTTCATCCATGAAAACTACTCAGACAATAACTTTGGAGCTCAGTGGAAGAGAACTGCTATCCAGAGCACTTACATTCACCTGGAACTCTTTCACCTGCTCATAATCCAGAGATCATTTGGCACACAGATTCTCAGTTTCAAAATTGATGGAGACATAAGAGGACACAGGCAAACAAGAATAGGTCAGTTCTGCATTTTGTTCCATGTCCAAGTCCTTGGCTTGGACCAGACCTATGAACAGACCTGGAATATAAATTCAAATATAAATAAATATATAAATTCAAAGATAAATAAATAAATAAATCTGCATAGAGGCTTATTGTGTGTTCTTGTCCAGCCAAATTGATTCCAGAAATTCCTGATTTACTTCTAATTAATTCAACTAATGGTTCAATATTAATAGCAAATAAAATAGCCGACAGTGGACAACTCTGACACGTGCCTCAGTTAATCATTATCACAGCTGAAAATATCCTATCTACCTGGAGACCCTCATAAGGCTTTTTTAATGTGCAGGAATTTCCCTTTAATATTAAATGCCTTGAGGTAATTGGATTACACTAATTAAATTAAAACTACCCATATGGCCAAAGAGATACCTCTAATGAACTGTGACAGAGATGTGTTTGCTTTCCTGTTATGAGCTTCTATCCTGTTGATTTGAACAGGCAAAAAGGCTAATTAAACAGAGAATTCATGATATAGAACAGCAATCAGGCATTTCCAGTTTACAAAGCCTTAATATGATTTTGAATGTGAAAAACATTGACAAACCTGCAGCCTACCTGACTTCACTGGAAGTAAATAGTTTCAGAAGGGCATTTGCTTCGGCAAACAGTTCTACCCTTCCTTCTGCAGTATTGGAAGGTAGGTATAAGAAGATCCCCTATTCTGAAAGGCTGTGCGCATATTAATCCCCCGAGAGCCAGTTTGGTGTAGTAGTTAAGTGTGCGGACTCTAATCTGGGAGAACCGGGTTTGATTCCCCACTCCTCCACTTGCACCTGCTGATGTGACCTTGGGTCAGCCACAAGTTCTGGAACAGCTGTCCTTGAAAAAGAGCAGTTTGTGTCAGCCCCACCCACCTCACAGGGTGTCTGTTGTGGGGAGGGGAAGGGAAAGGAGTTTGTAAGCTGCTCTGAGACTCCAAGTGAAGGGCGGGGTATAAATCCAATCTCTCCCCTCTTCTTCTTCTTCTAATTAGAAGAGATGAAGTCCATAGAGCATACATTTTTTTACCTGCCCATTTTATAAGGCAGCTCGTGAGGAGATTATTACTCCATTATTGCATAAGGTTCTCTATTTTACTGAAAAAGCTAAGCTTGATTATCTTTTATGTGATAAGAACCCTAAGATTACGAAACAAATAGCCAAATTCTGATTGTTGCTAATTAGACTATGGAAATTGTATCATAACCAGGTTTAAGTTTTATTAGATCATGTTTTATTCTGTAAATGTTGTTTATTGTGTAAACTGTAACACTGGTTATATGTTTTGTCAAATTACTGTAACAATAAAGAACTGAACTCAGCCTTGAGGATTTTGAACTCCATTCAATGCGGTCGAAAGCTTTTTCTTCATCACGTAGCATTAAAGTAATCTTTAGATCTTTCCGCTCTACATAATTCAATATGGAAATAACTCTCCAAGTATTATTTGCTATCTACCTATCATACATGTAGTTTGGTCATAGTGTATATATCCACCAATAACATTATTCAGTGTATCTGCTAGAATGTATTGAAAGATCATGTAATTTACATTCAGCAGAGATATTAGTCCATATGAGCTTGGATTTGCAGAGTCCTTACCTTCCTTGTGCATGCAAAT